TTCTAGAAAGATGAGTTTCTTGCATATCTGCGCTAGAGACCTAATGTTACATTAATGCACTATTTCTAAGGCCTACAGGTATAACCTTTCTTTTTGCTTCTTAGTTACTTTGAGTTTTCTATTTTTAGGTTTTTCCCCATTTTAGGGATGCATCCAACAAAGCAAAAACATCTTAACACACAGCACAACTTTCCTAGGATGACATAGTCAATAGTTTCCAAAAATAAAGAAGGTAGATTTTATAAGCATGCTGAGCACTCATACTGTCCACTGACTAAAATCATAGTTCATTTTTAAAAAACTGAGTATCCAGTAGATAATATAACTTTTTCTTTTAGTCTATTTTTTTTTCTTTTCTGTTTTTCTCTTCTCATGTTCAAAAAAAAGCTGTATCAAAATGCATCTTCCGTATCTTCGAAGTTTCTGGAAATTTTACACCTCCAGGATCAGCACAGAATTGGCATCTCAGGTAAAAAGCCAACAGCATCACTGCAGGATGTGGCTAAGCAAAATCCTTAGGTTGGCTATTCTCATTACAACTGGAGCTTCCAGCCTGAGGTCCCACAGCCTGGCAAACATCCTCAAGGAACCAGCCTGGCCACAATGCTTCATAACAAGATATAAGAACCATCAGTCCAGTTTCTCTGGGAAGAGCTCCCGTTTTTCACATAGGCCGAGAACTGGGAAACTGAAAAGATGGTTCTACATATAATTACAGGCTCCCCCATTCCTATTTCAAAGACTACTTTAATTCCTCCTCTTTGCGACATCCTCACTGCACAAGTGTCCCTTCATCTCTCTCTGCCTTTAATATCTACCTCTGTAATGAGAATCTTATGTTAGGAAACCTTCCTGACAAAAAGAATTAGAGAAAACAAACCAACACCAATCATCACAACAATACACCACCAGCAACAGACTGGGAAAAACTGTCTAGTTGGAAGTTAACACATCAAATACCCCACCAGACAAAATAGCTACCTCCCAAGTATAGGTGTCCCAGAAAGAATTAATTTCAGGCCTCATCACACCATGCATCCCTACAATGCTGAGAATTGACTTTATCCGATGCTAACGCACTACCCAGCAGCTAATAAAGACAGACCTTTTTGTGAGTGCACAAGGATCGTGACAAGATCAGTCGTAGATCAAAATAGAAACTAAGCAGAACAGAATTTCCATAGATGAGCTTGCATCATGTTGATAGGGAAGACAAAATACTAAGCATTAGGAGTAAACAAAACCCCTTGTAAATTAGTTTATATTAATTTGAAGAAGTGGGTATTTTTGTGATGGATGCCAAGAGCCACCAATATTCAAGATAGGAAACACGGATCAGAACAGACCATCCCATTTTCATGGAAAGGCACCACATGAATGTGACCAAGTGCCAGTTACCAGCCTTTCTTCCCTTCCGCAACGAACACATACACAATTATGCCACAATATCAAAATATGCAGAGCAATGTGTCTCACAAAGATGTGAAACACTGGGCCTCATCCCATCCTACAACCTGATGTTTAACCAGAGTCTGTATGCCATCCTGTCCATCTGCCCACAGCAACTCCCTCTCATTAAGTCCTGCACTGAACATCTCTTAGGTCTGCACTAGTACACAGCAGTTCTCATAACACATATTTGTAGAGGTCAAGCAGAGTCAAGACAGCTTGCTTGACTCTGCAATGCTTACGCAAAGATAAGCTGGAAAGAGGAGGAAATGATCACCCACCTTCTTAACTTCACATCACTGCATCTGATGCAAAAGGAAGTCACATATGACAGAGCTGGCCAATGTGCAGCCTGCAGAGCAAATGCTTCTTGGCTCTGGAACACAGCCCCTGTCCAACTTGTCATTAGCACAGAGAAACTTGCAGCAACCAGAGATGCTGGTAGGCTTTGTCCACACAGCTCTAGTCTGCACCAATTTGGTGCTGCCCTTAGCCTTGCAATGAGATGCCAGTGCAGCTCTTGGCTAGACAAGGCCGTCAAAGAGAGAACATTCCCCCACCAGACACATTTGAGCTTTAAAGAAGCTACTTTTGCAAAAAGCTGTGGACATGTCAGGCTCTCTGTCCCTGCTCAGTAAATACAACACTGGTTATTGTCAGGATTTATACTCAGTGGACACCAGACATTAATGCACTCTCACCCCTGACAGACGGCTGATCAATAGTGCCTGTATCAGTGGCAGGTTTGGAGGCTGAGGGTCTCAGAAAGGCTTCAAGACTACTTTCTAAGAATGGCTTCCCTTTGGCATGTAACAGCTGTACCTATCTCTTAATTGTGAAGATTAGCAGATCAGCAGGCCTGCCTGTCAGGTGGTTTCTAGGCAGATCACCAGTGGTTATCCTGGAGTTTTGCACAAAGACATCAAAAGCTAATGTGACACTTTATCTATGCAGACGAACAAGAGGTATTAAAAAGCATGCATGCTGGTCAACAATGCAAAGTTTTTAAGGATTTTGAGCAAACCCTAGCTTCACAAACCTCACTTCAGGACCCTTCTCACACTGCTGGGCACTGGCCAGGCTCAGAGGGAACAGTGCTCTCTTAGGACACCCTCCAGCCTGAACAGGATGAAAAACCATTTTATATAGTGTATGCACTTCAAATCAAGAAAGGGACCATCTCTCCTCTATTTGCTTTCAGCAGGGGATCATGTTTCAAAACACTTTTTTTTTATAGCTTCAGTGAAAGTTCACAATGACTCTTAGGTCCCACCTAGAAAACAAACTTCTATTTCAGCCTTTTGGATGTGTAAAAGACTGCCAGTCTTATCTCTCCTTGAGATCACATGGAACTGAAAGCTTTTGCACTGGGAAGAAGAAACAAGAAGTCCTGAGATGCTAAGGTTATTCTCTACTTTAAAGTATAGGATTGGAAGGGAGAAGGAAGGGGCAAATGGTAACTGCATTAGAACAAAGTGGCAGTATTGAGCAGAACCATGTCACCCAAGCAAATTAGTATGATAAACCCCAGCCGTCTTCTGAACTGCAAGGATTCTTGCAAGCATCCAGTCCCTACTCACAACGTACAGACCAGGAGCTACAACGCAGAGGAAGCCACAGGAAATGCTGCACCAGATTTGTTCTGTCCCGCTTCTGAGCCCAATGCCAGCATTTCCAGGCACGTGGAAGAACCCTACACACCCAGTCACAGCAACAGCCCCTCACACACACAAGGTTTCACCACGAGCTCCACTGAAACCCTGAAGCACATGTTCAGACTAGTCTTTTCATGAAGGTGTTAAAGCCCTTTATGAAAATTTCCTAATTCTTGGCTGCTGAAGAAGGGAAGGAAACCTGCTTCCTAAGCTTACTATCGCTGCTGCACAATATACCATCCTATCCTGAGACAGCAGGGTTGGACTGGACGATCTCTTCAGGTTCTGCTCACTGTGTCCATGCAAACGAGCATGCATGTGCTGATTCCACTCCTCCACTATTATCATGGCATTTCTAGAAAATACTTAGGAGTATTTTTTGTCTGCCAACAGCTTTTCCAAACTTGCTAATCTCACTGCTATGCCCACTGCCCTCAACAACATGAATAAAGAGGGACAGCCTTGTCACATCTGTTGCCTCTCCTTGATAAAAGCACACACAAGTAAGGCATGCAACAAGTCCAAGTCAGCTTGTACGGACAGTTTTCTTCTCCACCACAAACATTAGAAGCTAAAGAGCCAAACAGAAACAAAACCCAAGCTAAAAATATTTTCACAATTTGTCAACACTCTCACCATAAGAAAAGTGCTTTTCTTGCCACTGAAGGATAATTTCAGTTTATAAACCTTCACAGAGAATCCTTCCGTTCACAAGACAATTATTGTGTTCTCAAGTTTTTACAAACACTAGCTGCAACAAGAAGCCAAGGATTGGTACATCAACTCCAAATAATGTAAAGTTTGATATACTGGAAATCTCAGTAGTATCTTCAGTGCTAACATGAACCTGCCAATAACCTAACCTCAGCTACTGCCAAAAGGATCTGTGCAAGTATTTAATCAAAGTTCTTTCCACCTCTCCAAACATTTCATATCCCCGCCTCACACAATCAGATGCTGAGATGGAATTTGCTTACTCCAGGTGCCAAAGGGAATCAACATCTTGAGCGAGTCAGCCCGTTATCCAGCTTTCCCTTTAATGCTAAGATGATCTGTATTTCAACAGGTCCCAGGTGACACATAACAACACACCTTCAAGCAGAGAACAAGGCAGACAGGAGTAAGGGGAGAGGAACACGCAAGGGAACCTCTCCCAGATGGGAAAAAGAAATGGACAAACACATTCAAGCATTCTGTGGCATGCAGCTGGGGCACAACACACACACAAGCATCACAGCAAAACAGCTACATGCTCATAAGACGTTCTGGACTCTTGGTGATGATGTAGCATCTCCTGTGGCTGCCAGCCAGCTAGCCTTCCTTCTTCAGTGTCATTTCAGGAGCTACCAAAAGCCTGGGACCACTCTACCAGCCCATTTACGTAGCTGCAAAGTCCCACATCCTTCTCTGCAAACATTCCCCAGGGTACCATGTAGTAGTGTAACCATTATGTCAACCTCCTCAGAGCTCATTGAGTGTAATTGTGTCTATGAAGTAAAAAAACATCCTGAAATGAAAAAACATGCCTTGGCATGGGGAGAGGAAAAAAAAAAGCCAACAAACCCCCCAACAACCAAACCCTCACACTTTTTTTACGTAAAAAATTTTATGTGAGCAAAACTAATTTGACAGATGTTCCTTTGCAAAACACCTGGACTTTCGACACGATGAGCATCTAACAGCAGCTTTGCACGGAGCGCGATGGCTATAAAACCAGCAGTGGAGAACGTCCTGCAGCTTCACCCCACCGCTCGCACCAGACTCGGTATTCCACGCAGCTGTCCCATCCCAGGGGAGCACCGCTCCCCGCAGCTCCCAGACAGGACTGCGCACAAACACCGCCTAATTCTTCCCTCAGACCTCGCGCATTTTGTAAGAAGTCAACTAGGGCCCCACCAGTCCTCCGTGCCTCCAGCCTCCCAGGGGCTCTGCCTGCCTGCCCTTCCACGGCCGGGTT